AGTTTTAAGTTTTATTTCATGATGATCTGATAGAACACAGGGCATTATTCCAATTTTCTTTTATTTGCTAAGATTTTCTTTGTGTCCTTAATTTTTTTTAAATTTTTTTGGGTCTGGTCGTGGGGCCTGAACTCTGGGCCTGGGCGTTGTCCCTCAGCTCTTCACCTCAAGGCTAGCGCTCTACCACTTGAGACACAGTGCCACTTCCGGCTTTTTTTTTCTGTTTATGTGGTGCTGAGGAATCGAACCCAGCCTCATGATGCAAGGCAAGTGCTCTACCACTGAGCCACCTTCCCAGCCTATGTGTTCTTAATTATGATCAGTTTTATAGAACTTTCTTCAGGCTGCTAAGAAGACTGTATTTTACAACATCTAGGTAAAATAGTCTGTTTATCTGTTAAGTCCATTGGACCTATGGTATCAATTAATTCTGAGGTTTGTGTATTGATTTTTGGTCTATGTGATTATCAGAAAGAGTGATTGAAATCTTCCTCTATCATTTTATTATATCTATTTTATTCTTTCTGAACTTTTGAATTCAGTAGTGTTTGTATAGTAGCATGTACCAAACTTCGGCACATATATGTCAATGATTTTAGATGCTTGTCAGAGTTTGGTGACAATGCTGCCTTAAAGTGTTCACTTACATTTTTAAAAATACAGACAAAGTTGAATTGTACAAGTGGAGCTGTGGCTCAAGTGGTAGAATGCTAGCCTTGAGCAAATAACAAATAAGCTAAGGGACAAGCACTCAGACCTTGAGTTCAAGCCCCTCAAAACGTAAAATGTTCTATTTATGTATTTATTTACTTTTCTTATAAGTAATTGCTAGAGTATTTTAGATTTTGCCAGAAAACCATGCAGACATCTAGGTACAAAGAACAAAGAAAAGGTTTATTGCCAGTAAAGGGGCCGGCAAGACCCCTTCCCACAAGGGAGAAGTGAGAAGAAGTGCAGTTTATTGTCTGAGGTGACCGATATAACCTAGGAGGTTTAGGAGGGGCTAGATGGGCTACCCTTGTGTAGATGTGAGGGCCAGGGGCTTCATCATGGTGGACTAGGATTTATGGCTGCTGCCCAAATAGTAAATAAGGGGCCTTGTAGCTGCCCAAACCTAAAGGTCACTCTAAGGGACTCTTGTTGCCTTATATGGTGGTAGCTGCCCCAGAGAAGTGCACGAGGTAAAGGGGTGTTGGAGCTGATTATTTATTATCTCTACTAAATAGTCCTAGTGTTGCCTAGGAAGGGAGCATGCTAAGGTGTGGAGAAGGAAGAAGCATACTAAGCAATGGGAAAGCAGCTCATTGGCTAACAGTAATCCTACACAAAATAGATCTTTTCTTCCATATATATAGTTAGATATATCATATCTATTGATTCTTTTTACTTCTTCATACTTGATTTTGTTGTTTACATAAACTGTTAAAGGATCCCACCTCTTTGCATCTGTAGTTTAAGTGGAAATACATTTGGATTGTATGAGAGCATTGAGATTTGGGGCTTGATGTTATTGTAGCATTCCCTGGATATCCTGACAGATACAAGTGATTAAAAAAATGACAACTATGTTTGACTCTTTTTTATTTTTATTTTTTTTAATTTTAATTTTATTTTTTTATTGTGAAAATACTGTACAGAGGGGTTATAATTACATGGGCAAGATAATAAGTACATTTCTTATCAAGCATTGTAGCCTCCTCCTTTGTTTCCCCTTCCCATCCCTTCCCATCCTCCCCCCCCCCACCAAAGTTGTAAAGTTCGTTTTCGACATAACGACTTGTACTTCTCATTGTTGCGATGGGTCCACCTGTATCCCTATTTAAATGACTTGTTTTTCCCCCTTCCCTTCCACAAATTGTTTGACTCTTTTTATCATGGAAAGCCACATTCACTAACTAATTGAAAGAGGGCAGAAGTTCATAATTGTTCATGCTTATGGAAATGGAAAAGGTATCCATTACCTTACAAGTGGCCTTGCTGTTAGGCCCTTCCAGAAAACCACACAGACACCCAAGCACATAGGACAAAGAAAGGTTTATTGCCAGCAAAGGGACTGGCAAGGCTCTTTCTCACACAGGAGAAGCAGCACGATCAGTATCAGAGGTGACCTTTATAACCTAGAGGGGCCAGGAGATGGGAACTTTGATGTGGATGTGTGGCCCAGGGGCTTCATCATGGTGGGCTAGGATTTATGGCAGCTGCCCAAATAGTAGATAAGGGGCTGCAGCTGCCCAGACTGAAGGTCACTGGATGGCTGGGTTTCTTGTTACCTTAAATGGTTGTAACTTCCCCAATGGAGTGCCATCTCAAGGTAAAGGGGAGAGGAGGCCCATGATTAGCTGCAAGCACCAAATGGGCCTGGTGCTCTATTTACTGCCTGCACCAAACAGGCCTAGTGATGAACTCTCTGGGAAGTGCCTTCTAGGTTCTGGGAAAGAAGCATAGGCTATGGGAAAGGAGTCTATTGGACAAACACTCACAGTCTACCAGAGCCATAACCTTTCAGTCTGCCATTGCTCAACTACATATTTGTTGGTGACCAAGTTAACACTTACTCATTTCAATAGTGCTTTTCTGTCATGGCCAATCATTCTATCTCCCATGTTAGGAAAATGAGGCTTTAGACAGTCTTTACGGATCATTCCCTCTTTTAGATTTGCTGATGTCAGCTATGCGCTCTCAAGAAAGGTTCCCTATCTTTCCTAACCAAAACACTGAATCATTTGTCTCTTATACTACTAAAGAAAAAAATGTATTGTGAATAGCACTAAATCCTGAAATAATGTCTGTCATTCCTAATATTATAGGTCATTTCTAATATTATAGACACACTGACTTCACTCCAGACACATTTAGGAAGCATAAAAGTATTAGAACTCCTTCCAGAGAGGCAGAGATGGGAAAAATCAAGGGTCAAGTCAAAAGTTAGTGAGATCTTTATCTCAAAAAATAAGTTGGAGGCTCAAGGTATGGCTCAAGTGATTGAGCGACAATGCAGTACTTCAGAGGCCTTGATTTATTTTAATTATTTTTGTGCTAGTAGTGGGGATTGAATTTAGGGTCAGGGCACCACATAGACTTTTCTTTGAGAAAGTAGAATCTTTTCACTGAATTCATCTTTAAAGCTAAGAAAAGCATGGAGGTGAGTAATAAAATCAGCTCTGTTTTAAAAAAAGACTCACAATATGTTAGTGTATAAATGTAAAATTCTGTGGAGAAATGGAATGGGAATTCAGTGAGAAAAATAGTCACAATATCTTGCACTGTTAGAGAAGAAATTACTGATGTATTTTAATAACAGAATAATTGTGAGAATTAACCACGGTATTTATGTGTATTTTGCTGTTGTTAGTTGTGGGGTTTGAACTCAGGGTCTGTGTGCTGTCCCTGAGCCTCTTTGTTCTCACAGCTAGTGCTCTACCACTTGAGTCAATGCCACTTCTGGTTTTTGAGTGGTTAATTGGAGATGAGAGTCTCACAGGGACTCTTCCTACAGTGGCTAGCTTTAAACTGAATCCTCACACCTAGCCTTCTGAGTAGCTAGGATTACAGCGCTGAGCTTTATGTGTATTTTAAAGTACAATATCTTAATGTAATTGAAGACATCAAGTACTCTAGAAGTTGGACTTAATTGCAGATTGAGTATCTGTAAACTGAAACCTGGAGATCAAAATCAGGTTAGCGATGTCTTTTGTTGTTGTTGAAATATCTGTAACCCCAGCTGCTCAGGAGGCAGACAGAGGAGAATCAAGTCTTGAGGACAGCCTAAGAAAAGTCAGTGAGATCCATTCTGAGAAATAAGGCAAAAAGACAAATATGGCTCAATGGTAGGGATCACAGCTACAGGCCCTGGGTTCAATCCGCCATATAGCAAAAATACCAAGCAAAATGCTCAACATTTGCTATTTTTTGAGACAAAATTCACACCCGGAAACCTTTTGTTTCACGAACCCAGTTACTAAAATATTGTATAAAATTACATTCATGTGTTGAAGAAACATAAATTAGTGTTTAAAATTGGATCCGATTTCCAAGATATCTCATGTATATGTAAAGACTCCAAAATTGGAAAAATTGCAAATTACAAAAACCATTTGGTCTCCACCGTATGTGTATCTTAACATCCATTAAAATCTAATTGATGTCATCAGAAAAAACCCTTCCTTGGAAGTGTGGCTCGTGCTGCTGAGGATGGCAGAATAGAGAGGGCTGTTTTTGCTGAGCACAGGCTTAGGTGGTCTTGCTCCAATGGGGCTCTAGCCCGTGCATGGACCAAGGCGGCGGCGCTGGGAGGGGGGGAGCAAGGGGGACGGGGCTGTGTGTGCCAGAGCCGCTCCTATACCTCGGTGTGTGTGTGTATGTGTGTGTGTGACAGCCACAAAGGGTGTAAGACCTTGGCAAGACCTTGGCTTGCCGCGGAGGGGGGGGGGTGCGCGGCGGAGGGGACCCTGCCATCCCGGGTCGGTCCACGCCGGGCTCGGGGAGGCGGCCTGGCCCCGGGCTCCGGGTCGATCTACCCCGGATGCCCCCACTAGGCCGCCCGCCAGGAAGGCAAGCGCCCTCACCGGGCCCGGGACCGCGTCCGCCCGGGGACCAGCGACCACCGCCGCTGGAGCTACCGAGGCGTTTTAAAAGCGCGAGGCCTGGGCTGGAGGCGTGGCGAGGCGGTTAGCGCGAGTCTCCATCTCAGTAGGAAACAAAGCGGAACAAAAACCGGAGCCCGAACCACTTTCACTTACAAGAAGTGAGCAAAAGCCACAGCGGCGTTCCAGAATGTCCAGTTCCATCCCGCGTCAGCAGGAAGTAGGCCCCGCACGAAGTTAGCCCACACCAAAGTCTCCAACAATCCCTCCGCGTGCCCGCGCCGCCCCGCGCGCGCCCCCGCCGCCCCGCGCGCGTCCCCGCCAAGCGCCCGGCGGACGCCGTCCCGGGAGCGCGCACGCGGCGGCGTCACGTGCTCGGCGCGTCCCCGCCGTGGCGCGCCCGGAGCGGAAGTGAGGTCGGCGGCTCCGGTGGCTGCGCAGCGTCGGGGAGCGCGGGCTGCGGTGAGGCGGGCCAGCCCAGCGAGCGGGAGAGCGGCTTCGGGAGGCGGCCGAGCGCGGGACGAGCGGCCCAGCCTGCGGCTGAGGAGTCTCCGCGGCGCTGCTCCGCGCCTCACCCCGCGCCGAGCCCGCCCGGGCCGGCGTGCGCCGGTCACCGAGGAGGCCCAGGCTGCCGAGCGCGGCGCAGTGAGGTGAGTGGGGGCGGCGGGTGACGGGGGTGGCACGCGCGCCCTCCGCGCCGGGCTGCGGGCCGGGCCCGGGCTGCAGGGTCGGCGACGCGGCCCGGCCGGAAGTGCGGCGCTTTGTGCGCCGACCCAGGGCGGCGCCAAGGTCGGGCCCGCGGCCCGTCGCGCTTTGTCCCCTGCCAGCGGGCTGGGGGCCGAGGGGGCGGGGCGCGGGCAGGTGCGGGAGGGCGGCGGACGCCGCGCCACGTCCGGGATGCGGTCCGGGCCATTGCCCCCCGCGCCGCGCCGCGCCCGGCGTGCGGTCCGGCCCGATATCCCTCGCACCGCGCCCGGGATGCGGTCTGGGATGCGGTCCAGGCCGATGCCCCCCGCGCCGCGCTCGGTTTCGTAGAGGTCGCGGGGAGGAGGGGAGAGTGCGAGCGGCCTGGACCGGGAGCGACGGGACGGCTGTTCTCCGAAGATCCCGGCGGTTTTAGTCTTTCCGAATGTAACTTAGCCTAGCTACAAAGTAAAACTCCATTTGTCTGGAGCAAACCGAGCATCCTTGAACGACGTTAGCTCGGTGTTTAAGGCTTTCTTGGGAAAGGACGTTTCGGGTGTAATCGTGGTTGCCCTAAGAAGGAACTGGACATTTCTCTTTCTGAGTGTGGGATGATCACCTATTGCAATGTGGGAATTAACGTTTGGTCATTGAAGCCACACATAAACACCTTGGGAGTGCACTGGCGAGCAACTATGCTTTTAAAAATGAAAGGTTTAGATATGTTGTTTGTACTCCTTAAACTCTCCAGCCAACCTTTTTTTTTTTTTTGTAATTCCAGATTTATTTTAAAAAAATGAAAGATTTTGGGCTGGGAAGGTGGTTCAGTGGAAGAGTGCTTGCCTAGTATGCATGAAGTCCCCGGTTCGATTCCTCAGTACCACATAAACAGAAAAGGCTGGAAGTGGCGCTGTGGCTCAAGTGGTAGAGTGCTAACCTTGAGCAAAAAGAGGCTCAGGGACAGTGACCAGGCCCTGAGTTAAAGCCTCAGGACTCTCAAAAAAAAATTTTTTTTAAATGAAAGATTTTAGGTTAAATGAAAGATTTTTGGTTTTGGCAGGACACGTTTTTAAACCTTGGTGTAGGTTGAGAAGTATTAATGGGTTTTTGTTTTGACAGCCAACATTTGAGCGAGCTAAACTAGTTTTCCTACTGTTGAAGCCACTGTGATGGAAGTTGTGGTGATTTTGCTTTTCTTTCTGAAAAGATCCTTGTTTTTCATGTTTCTCTTGCAACATTTGATATGCCAGGAAAGCTTTAAGATGAGTTAAAATTAATTGTGTTTGTGACCCAAGTGCAAGGTAAGATCTGATAGAAGAAGGAAACGATGAACTTTCAAAATTCCCAACTTCCTCTATGTTTGCTTTGCAGAGGTCAGTAAAAATACCTTAACAGGTACCCCTTCCTTCTTCATCTGCCCTTGAGAAGAACGGAAAGATTAGGCTCTATGCATGAGGCAGAGTCCCTGGAACCTAGAGGGGAGGAGGAAGCAGCATGTGCTATTCTAGTCAGGCCCTCTTTTCATCTCATCTAGCCCACTTCCATTTTTAAGTTTAGAGTAACAGTTGTAATGAGAAAGTTAGGTGAATTCTCACTAGTGGTAGAATAAGAAGAACATAACAGCATAGAAGTTTACAATTCAAATTGGAAAATAAAATCTGAAGTACATTTTAAAAATATTTTTTTATAGATTCTGTAGCTTAAATTTTTATCTTCCCGTCTTATATAGACTGTTTAGTTTCTGGACCAGCTGAGAACAATTTTAAAAACACCAATATTCTAGTATAAAAGAGTTACACATTTGTATGTCACTCTTTATTGTGCAAATACATGAATTTTTCCCGTAGAGTGTAAATTTTGGTTGTAAAAGTTTGGGGAATGGAGAGCTTTCTATTTTGTGCTTCTACTGTGTGTGTCATATATTACTGAGGATTGCTATTGCTGATGTTTTATATTTGTTTCTCTGGAGAAAATTTTAGCTCTTGGAATTAGGGTTGTTGATATGGAATGCTAAAATATGATATTTATATTTTATAACTTAAAATTTTGTAATTTTTTTATTTTTTATTTTTACTTTTTTGTTGGTTGTAGGGCTTGAACTCTGGGCCTGGGTGCTGTCCCTCAGCTAGCACTCTACCACTTGAGCCACAGTGCCACTTCCGGTTTTCTGAGTGGTTTATTGGAAATGAGTCTCACTGACTTTCCTTGCCTGGGCTGGCTTTGAACCGGGATCCTCAGATCTCAGTCTCCTGAGTAGTTAGGATTACAGGTGTGAGCCACCAGTGCTTAGCTTGTAATTACTATTTTGTGGGGAGACTTTGTTTAGATCTTGGTATAGTAAAACTATAGATAGCACAGGTGTATTTCTGTTAGTGTTAGATTTTAAGTTAAGGAATTTTTTGCCTTTTGGTAAGAGTGGTACTGAGGTTTGAATTCAGGGCCTTATTATTAGCCAGGCACTCTGCCAGTACTTGGGCCATACTGCATCTATTTTGCTTCAGTTATTTTTCAGGTAGGAGCTCTAGCCTTTGCCTGGGGTTACTCTCAGCTGCTCCTACCTCACATTGGTCTGGGGTCATAGGTAAGATCCATCATGCCCAGATAATTGATTGAGATGAGGTCTTGCTAACTTTATTGGGGCTGGTCTAAACCTTGGTTCTCCTGATATCTGCATCTTGAGTAGGTAGGATTACAGGTATGACCCACTATGCTCCAGCTGCCATACCATATTATTCTGAAATTTATCTTTAGATACAGATATCAGAAATGTATTAAGAATCTCACTCAAACAAGAATCTTAAAGAGTGATCCCTCTGGTATCATCTTTGGGATTGGTGTCCTTGGTGTATACCAGATCTGAGTAGAAAATTGGTGACCAGTGGCACTAGAGTCCCAAGTGGATTGCTGATGGTGAGATTTTTCTTTATCATTATGCAAATTTAGAAAGTACAACACTACAGTATATTGCCTTGTTCCTAATACTTACGCAGAGTTTACTAGGCATTTTATTGTGGGGGTTTTTGGTTGCAATTTTTCCATCTAACTCAGAATCCAAAGGATATCCACCTCTTGACTTTTAAATCTGTTTTAATCTAGACTCCCACAACCCCTCCCCCCATGCACACCTTTTGAGACCATCAACTTAATGTCCTGGACAGTGCCCTGCCTTTGGGGTTTGCCAGTCAGCATATTCCTTTTGATTCCTTGCTTTTGTCTGTAAACTGAAAGTTAAAATTTTAGTCTGCATTTGGCTTTTGCAATTGACACAGAATAGTTGATACTTCTGTCACATAAGGGTACACATAATAGATTTTTTTAAAACTCCTGGTGAACCATTGGATTTGTTTACTAAATAGGTATGCTTTGTTATTTCTGAATTAGAAATAAGTGCCTCAAATTAATATTGACTTAATGGAAAAAAGTCCCATGTTTTATTGGATGGATAGTTCTTCAGTTATTTATGCACATTTAAAAGGTATTTAGGGGGAAATCATCACGTGTTAGAATAGTGCAAACCTTTTTTAAAAATAATTTTTATTGCAATTAAGTGATTGCATAAATTCACAATACTGTGAGATAGTGATAGAGTCATAAAAACATTTTAACCTTCACTAGGCAAATGATCATTATCATGGTCTATAATGTTTGTGAAAGCTATGAGCTTTGACAATACAACTATTTCGTTTATTTACCATTGGTTTTTATTTTGTAACATTTTAAAGAACATTTATTAACTTTCACATTTACATGGGTTATAAGAAAGGTTTATCATATGGGACAAACTAAAATGAGGATATTAACTTGTATGAGATTGAACAGCACAAAACCAGTCATCCATTACTCTACCGTTGGCAGAGTAGGCCATCAAAATACTATGATGAGTTGGGTGCTTTCCATCCTACATTGCTTGGGAGTTTTTTTTTTTCTCTTACGATATTGGGCCATTCCACACGGTGGAACTTTATTATTCATAACCCATAATAACAAGTAGTGATAATAAGAAAATAGTTCATTGCAAGTCACAGAAGTTTTATATGGCATTTAATGTATGATATAGAAATATATCCTTTGATCGATTAACAGATAATATTTCTAAACATTCTTTTTTTTCTTTTTTTTAAATTATCTTTAAGTAGTTGCACAAAGAAGTTCTCATTCGGGGCTGGGAAGGTGGCTCAGTGGTAGAGTGCTTACCTTGCATGCATGAGGTCCTGGGTTCAATTCCGCAGCACCACATAAGCAGAAAAAGGTGGAAATGGCACTGTGGCTCAAGTGGTAGAGTGCTAGCCTTGAGCTGAAGAGCTGAGGGACAGTGCCAGGCCCAGAGTTCAGGCCCACAACCAACCAAAAAAAAAAAAAAAGAAGTTCTCATTCTACAAAACAGTATATGAGTACTAAGTGTCTGACAACGTTGTCACCCACCTCTCTTAACCTATCCCTCTCTCACTTTTTTTTCTTTGAGATTAGGTGATTACATAAATTTCACATATTTCACAGTATTGTGAAATAGTGATACTTAATGTCAAAAATACATTTTAACATTCACAAGGCAAATTGTCATTATCATGGTCTATACAGTTTTGGAATTCTATGAGCTTTGACATTACAAGTTACTTTTTCCACATCACGTGCTATTTACATTTCTTTCCTTTTGCTTAGTGTAGGCTGTTCCCACTTATTCTGTTCCTCCTCCTGGCTTCCCACTGTTGCATGCATATATCTACCATATATATAGTCTAGAACATGGAGTCATTTAGCAATGATATGACAAAATGGGTGGCTGTCCTTTGTTTCTTGAGTCCTGTTACTTTGCCATATCAGTACAACTATTTCTTCCACATTGGGTGATATGTGCCTTTTGTTTTAGTGTAAGCTGTTACCTCTCTCTCATTCCCTCCTGCCCATCGCTGCCCTTGAGTTGCTTAGTTCTTTTTAATCAATGTCCAGTGCAGCTGATGAACTCCTCTGTTATATATTTTCCCATTTCCCTCTGATTGTGTGTCCTCCTCTTAGCTTCCCTCAGATGTGCATACACACACACACACACACACACACACACACACACACACACACACCATATATGTGATCAGGAACATGGAGTCATTTAGTAATGATACGACAAGTTGAGTAAAGGTCCTTTGTTTCTTGAGTCCTGTTTACGTTGTCATATCTCCTTGCATTTTGGATTTAACATCCACACATCAGGGAGACCATGTGCCCTTTGTCTCTCTGCTCTTGGCTTATCTCACTCAAACTGGTTTTTCTAGTTCCATTCATTTCCCTGCGAATGCCATTATTTTGTCCTTTCTAATGGCTGCATAATATTCCATTGTATATAAGTACCACAGTTTTTGGATCCATTCATCTGTAGTGGGGCATCTGGGTTGTTTCCATATCTTGGCTATTGTGAACAGTGCTGCAAGTGAACATGGAGGTGCATTTGTCCTTGCATCCTGATTTGTTACTCAGGGTAGATGCCTAGTGGCGTAGCTCAGTCATAGGAGAGGCTTTCTGAGGTACCGCCAGACTGCTTTCTAAAGTGCTTGTATTAGTGTACATTCCCACCAGCCATGCAATAGGGTTCCTCTTTCTCCGCATCCCTGCCAGCATTTGTTGTTGGCTGAATTTAGGATGTTGATCATTCTGACTGGGGTAAGGCGGTATCTCAGGGTTGTTTTATTTGCATTTCCTTTACAGCCAGGGATAATGAACATTTCCTCATGTGTTGCTTTTCCATTTTTATCTCTTCTTCTGAGAAGTCTCTCTTTAGCTCCCTTGCCCATTTCATGATTGGTTTGTTAGATTTGGGAGGGATTAGTTTGAGTTCCCTGTATATAATGGATGTTAGGTCCTTGTCTGATCTATTGCTGGTAAATATTTTTTCTTAATTATTTGGCTGCCTTTCTAGTTTGATAGCTATGTCTTTAGCTGTGCAGAAACTTTTTATTTTAATGTAGTCTCATTTGTTGAATCTCTCCAATTTATTGTGACCCTGGGACTCTGTTGAGGAAGTTCCTGCCTGTGCCTATAAGTTCAGGTGTCTTTCCTGCTCTGTCCTGAGTAGTTTCAGAGTTTCAAGTTTGATCTTAAGGTCTTTAATCCATTTTGAGTTGATATTAGTGCATGGTGACAGGCTGGGGTCCACTTTTAATTTTCTACATGTGGCTGCCCAGTTTTCCCAGCACCAATATTTGAAGAGGCTATGCTTCTTCCATGAAGAAACATTTGGCTCCTTTGTCAAATATCAGCTGACTGTAAGTGTGTGGTTTTGTTTCTGGATCTTCTATTCTATTGGTCTTGGGGGTCTATTTTTGTGCCAATACCAAGCTGTCTTTGTTATTATGGCTCTATAATAGAACTTGAAATCTGGTATCATGATTCCCTCCCACGTTGTTTCGTTTGCCTAGAATTGCTTTGGCTATTCTAGGTCTTTTGTTGTTCCATATGAATTTTTGGATTGTTTTCTCTATTTCAGTAAAGAACATTGTTGGGATTTTGATGGGAATTGCATTGAATTTGTATATCAATTTTGGCAGTATGGCCATTTTCATTATATTCTGTCTATCCAAGAACATGGAAGGTATTTCCATTTCCTGTTATCCAGTGCAAGCCTTTTTATCAAATTGGAGAGAGAGACTTTTGGGGAAGTATCCTTTTTGAGCTGGTGATTGAATCTACTAGAGCTTTGGACATGCTAGGCAATTGAGCTACATCCCCAGCCCAACTTGTAATTTTTGTTTTTTCTACCACTTGAGCCTCAGCTCCACTTCCAGCTTTTTTTTCTGCTTATGTGGTGCTGAAGAATCGAACCCAGCGCCTCATGCATGCAAGGCAAACACTCTACCACTGAGCCACCAACTTGTAATTTTTCATTATTTTTGACCAGTTCAGAAAATGTAAAGATGCTTTCAGGAATATAGTTTCTATCTAATTTCAATCAGGATTTTAGAATTCAGATGTGGCTATATAAAACCCTTTTGTGGCAGATAAAGACGTTGTATTATTAATAGACTGTAAGGTCATTATGGGATGAGAACCCCTTTGGGGTTCAGTGCTTCTTTGGGGTATGCAGTTTGTGACTATCATGAGAAGTACAGGAATAGACATTCATGTACCAGCCTAAGTCTTATATCACTTGAACTTCCTGTTTTTCAGCTAGGGTCTTAGTTTTGCTGGTTCTGGCCTCACCAAATTCTTATTCCTACTTCTGCATAGTTGGAATTATAGGCATGAGCCACAGTACTGTGCACAATTCTTGGTGTGATCACGTTTCATTTTTCTTTGGGTTCATATCAAGGAGTGCAGTTTTGAGATTCTGTAACATAATTGCTGGGCTGTTCATGAGCTTTGTTGCCTGCTATCTGAAAACTCATGCTCAACTCACATGTAAAGGTATCTGTGAGGTTATAACCTAACTTGTGTCTATATAATCATCTATCTTGATTGTTGCTTGAACTCCAATACTTTTGTTCATTGTTCTTAAAATGCATTTTGCATTGTCTCATTTCTGTGCAAGTCAGGAAATTGGAAATGCTGACTGCCTTCTTAATTTTTCTCCTAATCATATTCTTCTTCTTCACTGAATTTCTGCTCTTCACTCAGCCTGGAGAGCGAGCATTATGCGCTTGTGACCTTTGACACATAGCCTGCAGAAAGAATATTATCTGATCTTTAACACTGTCTCAAGTTTCTTTCTTTTTAAAAATTCATTATAAGCCATTATAAGTGTGATTCCAAACAGTGGCTGTAATCTGTATGTGACTGATTAAAGTTGGATCAAAAATTTATATCTATGAACAATGCAGGTGTAAGATTTCACTTTGGCAAAAAATTCTGTTGGATAGTGATTTTTCAGGATCGTAAACTCAAAACTTTGGATGGTACTTTGCTTATTATCTAGAATTCAATTAAAGTCATCCTGGTGCAGAATAGTATTTGGAAAGTGTTTACTTCTTCAGAGATGGTGATTGAACCAGAGAAGTGGATGAAGTATCTTGAGGGCTTCTACAGTTCTTCTGTTGTAAATCTTGCAGAATTTAGTCACACATCACAGATCCTATGCTGGCCACATTTTTTCAGATGTTCATGAGTCACTTTCCGCAAATGGCTTCCATATTGGACATCCCAGATTGAGAACATTGGATGGTTCTGACTTAACCTTTTGACTGTGATGGAAGATTGTGTAGTTTTGGTTTAAGTCTGGGCACCAGTGGCTCACCCCTATAATCCTAGCTGAGATATGAGGATCACAGTTCAAAGCCAGGCTGGGCAGTAAATCTGATCTCCAATTAAGCAGGAGAAAAGCCAGAAATGAAGCTGTGGCTAAAGTGGGTAGTGTTCACTGTGAGCAAAAAAAGTTCAGGGACAGTGGCCCAGGACTGGCACCAAAGTAAAAAAGTAATCATAGGGCTGGGAAGGTGGCTCATTGGTAGAGTGCTTGCCTAGCATGCATGAGCCCCTGGGTTCAATTCCTCAGCACCACATAAGCAGAAAAAGCCGTAAGTGGTGCTGTGGCTCAAGTGGTAGAGTGCTAACCTTGAGCTGAAGAGCTGAGGGACAATGCCCAGGCCCAGAGTTCAGGCCCCCAAACCTACCAAAAAAATATAATCATTGAGATATTTGATATATTAATCACTGGTATTGCTTAGAATGGTCTTGTTCTGTGGGCCAGGCCAGGCTCAAACTCTTGATCCTCTTGCCTGTGTCTCCCAAGAGACCAATTTACAGACTAGGGTTTATTATAGGGGCTAAGGATATACTCTTTACTAGACTTCTTAGCTATTTTCTAAGCAAGTCAAATAAGCTTAAACATTGATGTGACTTGTTTTGTATTTTGTCTTTTAATGAAGTTTGATACATACAATGTTCTGAGGTGTATGTGTAGGTAAACAACACATCTTACTAATGTTGGAAATAGTGCAGAAAACATAAGCAAGTGTGTGTACTCTGCTTGCCTGAACTGTGCTCTGTTGAGGATATGGAGAAGGCAGGTACTTTGTAAACAAATAAGTTTATGTACTTTCTTGTTTTTATTTTTAAAACTAATCATTTTATAGAACAGTTTGAGGTTTGAAGCAAAATTGAACAGAATAAAATAAGCAAAAGACCACTGGTTGCATTGTAAATTAAAGATCCTCTTCTTACAATTACCTAAATCAGTGAGTTCTTTTTAGATCAGGAATAGCAAAAACTTTAAGAGGGCATGGGGCAGTAAAATTAGGAGGAGCTGGCTGAGAATCTCCAGGGAAAGGTAGAGTTCAGAGTGCTTTAAATTCTGGGACTTTGCAGGGGAAGCAAGATTTGTGTTTTTGTGTGTGTGTGTGTGTGTGTGTGTGTGTGTGTGTGTGTGTGTGTGTTTAACTCCCTTTGAGAGTTGGTTTTTGTCTTTTTTAAAACTTTATTAGCATGCATTAATTGTATAAAGAGTTTTAATTGTGATATTACCCATAAATGCATATACTTAGATTAAATTCACTCTATCATTCTTACAAGTACCGAGCGCTAACCGATTGCACAACTAGAGCTCCCACTCTTATCATTCTTATCCCTTATCAAACCCCTCCCTCCTTTTTAGAGGGTTTTGTTGTGCTGTTTTCATACATATATAATATGCTTAGGTATCCTATTCACCTTGTCAGCCTCTCCTTTCTTGTGTCTTATTGTTGGTTTCCCCCCAAACATCCTCTCACTATCAGGGCATTATTATTATTACTTCATATATAAGAGAAAATCTGATGTGTGTAGCATATGATAGAATATGGAATATGTATATATATATTTATAGCTAATTTTGTCTTTTTTTAGGAAAAAAGTTGTTTAAGAAATACAGAAAAGTGCAAAAGGAACACTAAACTCACCTCATCCAGAGGTAATCACTATTCATATTTTATGTATGTCCATTAAGATGTAGTTGTAACCAAAGATGTAAAAGAACTATTTAATGAGAACTATAAAAAGTTAAAGAAAGAAATTGCAGAAGACACTAGGAAATGGAAAGACCTCCCATGCTCCTGGATAGGCCGACTTAATATAGTAAAGATGGTGATACTTCCAAAATTAATATACAAATTCAATGCAATTCCTATTAAAATCCCAATGACGTACATCACTGAAATACAGAAAACAGTCCAAAAATTTATATGGAACAACAAAAGACCTAGAATAGCCAAAACAATTCTAGGGGATAAAGACAATATGGGAGGGCTATCCATGCCGAACTTCAAACTCTACTACAGAGCTATAATCACAAAGACAGCATGGTACTGGCACAAAAACAGACCCGAAGACCAATGGAACAGAATAGAAGATCCAGATATAAATCCACAGGCCTACAGCCAGCTGATATTCGACAAAGGAGCCAAAGACATACAATGGAAGAAACACAGCCTCTTCAACCGCTGGTGCTGGGAAAACTGGGCAGCCACATGCAGAAAACTAAAAGTGGACCCCAGCCTATCACCATGCACCAACATCAACTCAAAATGGATTAAAGACCTTAACATTAAACCTGAATCTCTGAAACTACTGCAGGACAGAGTAGGAGAGACACTTGAACTAATAGGCACAGGAAGGAACTTCCTGAACAGAGTCCCAGGGTCACAACAAGTTGGAGAGAGACTCGACAAATGGGACTACCTTAAAATAAAAAGCTTCTGCACAGCTAAATCTATCGCAACTAAGCTAGAAAGACAACCAACTAATTGGGAAAAAATATTTACCAGCAATATATCAGACAAGGGGTTAACATCCTGTATATACAGGGAACTCAAGAAACTAATCCCTCCCAAACCTAACAAACCAATTACTAAATGGGCAAGGGAACTAAAGAGGGACTTCTCAAATGAAGAAATAAAAATGGCAAAGAAACACATGAGGAAATGTTCATCATCCCTGGTGGTGAAGGAAATGCAAATAAAGACAACCCTGAGATACCACCTTACCCCAGTCAGAATGTCCCACATCCACAAATCAGCCAACGACAAATGCTGGAGGGGATGTGGAGAAAGAGGAACCCTATTACACTGCTGGTGGGAATGTACACTTATACAACCACTTTGGAAAGCAGTCTGGAGGGTCCTTAGAAAGCTAAAGATTGACCTCCCTTACGACCCAGTCATACCACTTCTAGGCATCTACCCTGAACAACAGGAACCAATATACAAGGACACGTGCACCTCCATGTTTATTGCAGCACTGTTCGCAATAGCTAGGATATGGAAACAACCTAGGTGCCCCACCACAGATGAATGGATCCAAAAATTGTGGTATCTATACACAATGGAATATTATGCAGCCATTAGAAATGACAAAATAATGGCATTTGCAGGGAAATGGATGGAGCTAGAAGGAATCATGTTGAGCGAGGTAAGCCAAGAACGAAGAGACAAACGGTACATGGTCTCCCTCATAAGTGGATGCTAAATCCAAAAGGTTAGTGATACGACAAAACTAACAGGACTTAAGAAACAAAGAACTCCCGCTCATCTGGTTGAACCACTACTAAATATCCTCATGCTGCTGATCACAAATATGGTATATAACATGTGAACACTGTTATATATTACAGACTGTGGTAGACAATTTGCTCCAGGGAAGTTAGAATGAACTTGTGACTTTGAAATTATGTAATCATTTAATCACAATCAAAAAAAAAAAAAAAAAGAACCTCGGGGAAGGGAGGGAGGGAGGGGATGGTAGGGAAAACAATGGAGGGGGTAACAATGTTCAAGAGGAAGTGTACTCATAACCTCACTCATGTAACTGTAACCCTCTGTATAGTAGCTTTACAATAAAAAAATAAAATAAAATAAAATAAAATAAAAAAAAAAAAAACAAAAACAAAAAAAAAAAAAAAAAAAAAAAAAAAAAGATGTAGTTGTATTTTCCCAGAGGTTCATGTGTCTGTAAGTATGTGTAAACTTGGGATTGTTTTACATAAAGCATTATATTCTACTTTTTCCCTTAACAATGTGCCTTCTTAGGCCTTTAAACATCATTTTGTTTCTCCCCAGTTCTGAGAATTAAACTTAAGGCCTTGAGCATGCTGGTCAAGGCTCTGTCACTAAGCCATTTAAAAAAAATTTTTAAACTATTTTAGAAATCTCTTTACTTTGGAAAGTAACTGCATAATACAGTTTCATGATAATGCACTGGCTATGTCTTGGTTTTAACTAACTTTCTTTTTTAAGGCTGGTGTTATACAACTTGAGCCACAGGTAGTTCACTTTTATTGGAGATATGAGTCTCACATACTTTTCTTCCTTCAGGTAGTATCTTCAGAGTTTAGCCTCCTGAGTAGCTAGGGTTAGAGACATAGCCACTAGCCCTAGCACCCAGCCTTATTTTAACTATTTATTATAAGGACATTTATGCTGTTTGTAGGACTTTCCCATGTTAATTATTAGGGATGTAAGGACTTTTTTTTCTCTTAGTTTCTGTAAAGAAAAGATTGCAATATCCTGTTTGTATACCCATTAGGACAGTTGGCATTCCTTTTCTATTCTTTATTGATTTGGAACCATATGAAATAGACTGCTTTATTACAGCTTAGAGAAAGACATTTACTCCCTGTCTTTGAGACTAATGCTGTAGATATATCTGAGAACAAAAGCACTTGGCTAAGTCACTGTTTTTTTGTTTTTTGTTTTTGTTTGTTTGTTTTTTTCCCCTTTTAGAGCTTGAAATCATGAATCCTGTTTATAGCCCTGGATCATCTGGGGTTCCCTATGCAAATGCCAAAGGAATCGGTTATCCAGGTAAGCAAATTTTTTTTCATTAAACATGGTATATTTCCATATTATTAAGTACATTTAGAGTGGATAAATACAGCTCAGAGTGGCTTAAGGAAGAAGACAGATGGAAGTGAAAAATCAAGAGACAGGTATGTGTTTTTTTTTCTTGCCAGTCCTGGGGCTTGAACTCAGGGGCTGGGCACTGTCACTGAGCTTCTTTTGCTCAAGGCTAGCACTCTACCACTTGAGCCACAGTACCACTTCCAGATTTTTTTGTATATGTGGTACTGAGGAATCGAACCTAGGGCTTCATGCATGCTAGGCATGCACTCTACCACTAAGTCACATTCCCAACCCAGATATGGTTTTGATCAAAATTTGATCTGGTACTCTAGCACTTGGGATCAGGACCTAGTTTCTGTACCTGTAGGCCCCAGCCTTACTTTAGTATTGCCTCAATGTTGGGTCATAGGCCTGTGAGGTTCAGCCCCTCAAGGCACCCTCTGACTAGATCGTCTTTATCTCTGCCTTATGGAAAACTCTGGAACTTCATGTTCTGTATTGACATTAGTTCTGGGACTTGTCCTGATTGAATACAACTTTCACCTTCTACGGCCAGGGAGGGATCCTACCACATTTTTCTTAGTGGAGTCAGCTATCAGACAGCTTTGAGGGAAGCTATAAATAACAATTTACCATTTTTGTTTAAAAGTAATAATGGTTGCCTGAATTGGTGACTTTATTTACAAGAAGTAGTTATTTGTAATATTACAGGTATATTGTCAGTGTTTATAAAAATGGTGGATAACAGAAAACTATGTTGCTACAAAACCCTAAGAAAATGGAATATAGCATTTTGCAAATGGGTAACTGAACTTGCAGGAGGGAGGAGATATTTTAGGAGCCTACAATGAAAGAGAAAAATCAGCTCTCTTAGCCTTTCAGCTGTCTGTCCTGGAGGCATTTGCTGTTTCAGTTTTAGTCAGAACTGGTAGTTTAGGATCTTGAGGAACAGGAAGCCAAGGCCCTCTCATCAGGCTGTCTGAGTGGTGGAGTTCCTGCAAAGAGGTGGGCTAAATAGTCCACTTACTGGCCTCAAAAAGAAGCTTGTGTCTATGTCGGTTCTGAGAAGGGAAGTTTTTTTTTATGCTTTCTAGCCATTCAGGACGTTTGTGGGCTCTAACTAGTATAACTTGTACTTCCTTGGGGGTTCAGAAGTTGAGAAACTAACAAAAAGTTAACAGATTCTCAACCTACTGTGCAAAATGGTTAGAAAACACGGGGAAAAGTCACCAGTCACGACACACTAGAATGGAACCAGGCAAATTTAGAATAGTTGCGAAGAAAGAATTAACAAAAAAAAGGGAAGATGCTTGGTGTGTGTGCACACCGAGAGAGAAAGGGAGAGGTAGGGGGGCTGGAGGGGGGGTGGGAGGAGAATATGAACTGGAATTTAAAGGATAGGCAAGACAGAACATTGCTAAGAGAGAACCAGAAGGGGAAATAGGTGACTGATTAGGAAGTTTTAAAGAGGTAGAAGACCATTCTAGAAAGATTGAGTAGGGGACTGAGGCAGCCTTGTGTCTCAGCCCCCTCTCTCAGAGGTGTGTTACTTGGATGCTGGTGCTGTTTTTATTTGAGGAGTGTAGGGGGGATGTATGTATCTTGACTTCGTGGAGCTTCGTACCCATCTCCTTACTCCTGTGTGAGTGCTGTTTGCTATGAATCTATGTAGGCACTCAGGTCTTTTGCTGACACTCTTATTTTTTCCAACTTGAAAAAAAAGTGGCAAGGGTTTTATTTGGTCGGTAGTGAGGCCTGAACTCTTGGTCTAGGCGCAGTCCCTCAGCTCTTCAGCTCAAGGCTAGCTCTCTACCACTTGAGCCCAGCACCACTTCCAGCTTTTTCTGCTTATGTGGTGCTGAGGAATCGAACCCAGGCCCTCATGCATGTAAGGCAAGCAAGCACTCTACCACTGAGCCACCTTCCCAGCCCAAGAGTTTTCAAGAATTGGTAGAAGACAGTTTAGTGATGATACCAGCTGTTTTTAAAGTGCAAACACTGTCTAAATGGAATAGCAGAAGAGGATTCTCAGTGAATCTGGAGTTAGGGAAGTAGCCAAAGCCTTTGGTTTTAGCATTACCTGGTAGGTTTACTATAAAAAACAAACAAACATTAATTCTCTTACAATCGCCAATCCATGGTGGTGTTCATCAGGGCCTCTAGCACAAGAGCACTCTCCGATGCTACCCAGCAAGGCATGATCTAAGAATACTGGAATTGGGTGATGGGCTGGTTTGGCCCCATGGAGAGTCATTTGCTCCCTCCTGCTCAAAGAGATTTCTGGAGCAAACAATTTCTATAGGATTTATCTAAAATCTCAGTCTCCCCATCATCACTTCAGGTCATTCAAACCCTGGGGTCAAATGAATGGAATTATGTGTCTCTTTTGGTGCTCTTGCTCATAAATGGAGAGACTGGTCTGGTGCCTTTCTTTTTATTTATATTTACTAGAAAGGAAGGATATTTTCTCAAAAGACATTGTCTTTACTCAAAATAATCACTGAGATGATTTAATCAATACTAGAAATTTACTGATTTCTCATCATGTCTGTGTTTGTTCATTTCTACTTTGCCTTTTGGATTAAATATTTTTATTCTTTCACCTTTTTAAAATTTATTTTAGGGAGGGGAGGGATTTGAGACAGGGTCACACTATGTAGCTAGGCTCTAGTTCCTGCTTCAGCCTCCTGAGTGCTACGATTTCAGTCTTCTCCTGTACACATGACTTTTAAAAAAAGATTACCATATTTTTAATATGTAATGTTTTTGCCATACATTTATTCAGCTGACCACTATCATATTAACTCACATTGGTTTTGGTGCCCTTTATCTGTTTCTCTGGTGACATGTTTCTTAGTTATTGTTCTTTATACTTATATTCCTCCTTACCGTTGGTAAATTCATTACTGAATTTTGTTTTGTGACTGTCTTTAATTTTGCTTTCCTTTTGGGACATGTTTGTGCTGAATATACTTGCTTCCTGTTGCTGCTGTAACAAGTTATCAGGAAATTGGTGGATTAAAACACAGAAGTTTGTTTTCTTTTGTGAAAGCCAAATGTCTGGAGTTAAAAATTCAGCAAAGTTGTACTTGCAGAAGCTCTAAGGCAAACCCGTTGCTGTTGATGGTCCTTGACTTCCTGCCTTGTGGCTACATCACTTCACTTCCTGTCTTCATGTTTATATTCTCTGCCCTTTTGTGTATGTGTGTGTGTGTGTGGGGGGGTATATTTATAAAGATACTTATCATTGGATGTAGAACCTACCTGGGTAGTCCAAGGTTTTCTCAGCATCCTAAGTCTGCAAAAGCCTTTTCAAAATAAGGCCATAGTTGCAGATTCTAGAGATCTGTTTCGGTATCTTTGAGATTCCATTTTTATTTTACCTAATAACATTGAATGTAGATTTTCTTTTTTTGGTGAGTACTTTCAGATTTTAAGGTTACAATTGTATATTTGTCTTATTTAGCTCTTCTTTTCCACCCCTCTTCTCTCTTCGTGTGTGCGTGCGTGCGTGCGTGTGTGCGTGCGTGTGTGCATGTGTGATAATACTAAGGTTTTAACTCAGAGCCTTGGCCTTTCTGGGGCTCCATTTCTTGAGCCATATCCCTAACCCTTGTGCTTTGAGATGGGGTATCAATTTTTTGTCTAGGCTGGACTGGACTCCAATGCTTCTATTTAAATTTCTTGTTTATCTGGGATGGCAGCTTTTGTCTGTTGTTGAGATGAGGTTTTGATTACTTTTCTTCTCAGGTTCGCCTTGAACTTGAATTCTCTCAATGTCTGCCTCCCAAGTACTTGGCATTACAGGTGTGAGCCTTTGTGCTAGGCCTTGGCATGTCTTAAAGGAGACTTCAGTTGGTTTTAACTTAATATACCATATATATGTATGTACACACACATTCCATTTAAAATCATGGTATCCCTGCAAGACCACCAAAACCCTTTTATGGTTCTTTGTCCTTATGTTAGAGGCCTGTATCTGGGGAGAGCTTATACTCAGTCTTTTTTCCATGCTGAGAATTGTTAAGTACCCTAAGCTGACATATTCATGTATCTTAATTTCCTCCATGGACAGTGGATGAAATTGAGACACATCTATTTTGGGGGGAGAAAGTTAAAAGGGGAAGCAGCAGAATTGGGTAGGGAGAACCTGATATTGGAGTGCTCACTGTAAAAGTCTACACTGTCCTTCTGGTGCTCTGGGACAGTGAGTGACACTTGGAGGAGGCCTGTGTTACAAGCATTACTGTTGGAGGCTGCTGGCCCACCTACACTCTTTACTGATGAACAGCAGGTTCTTGACTAGCACTCTTCAAGTTGCATTGTCAGCTTACGTGTTCTAGGAATCCCATGTCAGTTGGTTTGTTCTTTATTTAGGTTTTTACATAACTAAGTTATATAGTCTCTATCTCCATCTTCTGGAGTTTCCTTACTTTATTCAGCCAGTTTCTTTTTAAAGGTGTTGGAAGTTTTTGAATTACTTCCTGTACCACAGTGCTACAGACTGAATAGCCTTGTGGTGAGTGTGTTTTTGGAAATTACATTCAAGGTAGATTCCTACAGGTGGAAGGTGTTTACTGAGGCAGAAATTAAGCATTCAGGGGCTGGGAAGGTAGCTCAGTGGTAGAGTGCTTGCCTTGCATGCCTGCGGCCCTGGGTTCAATTCCTCAGCACCACATAAGCAAAAAGAAAAAAGCCAGAAGTGGCGTTGTGGCTCAAGTGGTAGAGTGCTAGCCTTGAGCTGAAGAGCTGAGGGACAGTGCCCAGGCCCAGAGTTTAGGCCCCATGACCGGACCCCCCCCCCCCCCAAAAAAAAAGTAAGTGTTCATACAGGGTTTTTTTTTGTTGTTGATATTTTTTGTTTTTGTTAGTTATGGGGCGCCCACTCAGGGCCTGGGGACAGTCCATTATTTTACTTGCATCAGTGGTGTATTAGAAATTGTTGCAGGTTTTTCTGTGAC